CCGCCACCGGATGCACCAAGCCTGGGGTAGTGCAGGGGGATGTGTCCTGTGCCAGGCCAGGAAGGCAGAGTTGGCATCCATAACCCCATCACATCCAGTGCATCCCAGACCTCGGGCACCACTGGGGCAGCCAGGAGGGACCTGCACAGTGGGGGGTGCTGCAGGGACAGACATGGGGGTGGCAGTGAGGGTTGCATGGGGGTGCCCAGCAGGATGGGGTGGGGGGCTACTAGGGTGGAATGCTGGTAGGTGGTGATGATGAAGCCTTTTAAAATGGGTTGGTTGGGGTGCCCCCCTCCCCTCCCTCCTCCCCTCCCCCCAGGAGTGCTGGGTTGTTGGGTGGGCTGGTTGGGCTTGGGGGATACCTGGAAGCTGGGGGATCTTTGGCTGTTGGGTTAGGGGTGCCTGGAGTGTGTGTGGGGTTGATGAGCAAGCTGTTGAGGTGCTGGGGTGAGCTGGTTTGGTCTAGGGGGATCAGGGTGGGCTGTTAGGCTGGGTTGATTGGTTTTAGGGGTGCTGGAGGCATCAGGGAAGAACTGGGTAGACTGCTGGGGTGAGGGTTGGGTTTCGGGCTACCTGGGAATGGAGATGCTGTTAGGGTGGGCTGGTTGGTTTTAGGGGTGCTGGAGGAGTCAGGGAAACATGGAGTGGGCTGTTGGGGTGGACTGCTTAGATTATAGAGGGTGTGTCTAGGAGGCCAAGGGAAAGTTGGGTCAGCTCATTTGGTTTAGGGGAGCTATTGGGATGGGCTGGTTGGGTTGAGGGGTGCTGGGAAGTGTCAGAGGAACTTCGGGTGGGGTGTTGGGGTGAGATGCACAAAGGACGGGTCGCTTCCCCAGAGTATCCCCCCTGCCCCATACCCAGCAGCAGCAGCTTGACAGTCCTGGCATCCTTCTCAGCATCTTCCTTGAGCTTCTTCTCCAGCTCGCGGGAGTGCTTCTCCTCGGCACTGGCCCCGGCACCCATCCTTGGCCCCGTGGCCCTGTGGCTCACCCGCTCCTTGGAGGTCAGCACCAGGATGGGCAACGAGCTCCAGCCCCCCGCAGCCTCCAGCGCCGCCGCCGCCGACTGCCCCACCGCCACCGCCACCGCCACTGCCCACCCACGG